TACAAAGAAAGGAAATTCTGACACAGGCTTACAATTGCGGAGGGAACCCTTGACGGTGTTATGCTAAGTGAAATAACCCGGACCACAACAGAACAAATACTATGATTCCATTGACGTGAGGCACCAGAGTAGTCACGGAGTGATCAGAACCCGCTGCCTGGCTGGATGCCCAGAAAGGACCCCTCTTGGCTGTCAGGGTGCTTGCGGAAACATGAGGAAAGGAGACGGGGACATGGATTAGACCAGGCGCGGGCGGGCGAGCTCATAAAGATTGGGGAGCGGGGCGGGGCATCAGTCAGAGCCTGACCCTGAACCTGGCCTGGAACCTAAGGCCCCCCCCCCCCCCCCGCCTCTCCCCGCCAAGGTGTGCGTGTGTGCGTGTGTGTGGTCCTGAAGAGCGTCATGTCTCGGGTCACACAGAATGCCCTGACGGCCTGTGTGCATCTGTGGGCGCGAAGCGCACCTACAGACCTAGGGCGCGTTTGTGCGCGGGCCAGGGCGCGGCGCGGCATGGGGACCGCACGGTCGGTTCGCTGGGGCAACGGCGCCTGCTCCGATCCCTAAGTCAGTATTCAGCTCCTCGCTCTTTGCAGACGCTCCCTGCGCCTCCCCCTCTCGGGGCTGCAGCGGCGCAGGCGCCGGCCAAGCCGATCGCTGAGCGGGAGCGGGCGGCCGTGCTCCCGGCCGTCCCGGGGGAGCAGGTGAGCGACCCGTGCCGCTCGCCCTCCAGGCCTTTGGGAGACGGAGACGGAGACGCCGCCAGGCCGCGCTGCGCCCCCGCCCCCGCCTTTCCTTGCTTGGAAGTACCCGCCTTGCTTCTGTTGGAATCACCCTCTTCTCCTGCCTGGAATCCCTCCTCCCCCCTGCCTGGTTTCCCTCTCCTCCGCCTGCTTGGATCCCTTCTCGGGGTTGGAATCCTCTTCCCCCCGCTGGATCTCCGGCTCATCCCTTGCCTGGCACCTTCCCCTTACTGGCATCCCTCTCCCGCTGAGATGCTCCTCCCTTTCGGATACCTCCCTCACTCGGATCTTCTTCCTGCCCCTGGCTGGCACTTCGCCTCCTTGTCCCCTGTCTCGCGCTCTTCATGACTGCCAAGTTCACCCGCGGCCTGCCTCTCGAAGGCTCCCCTCCTCATCCCTCCTTCCCTACCTGGTACCTTTCCATCCCCCCCGCCCCCCGCATTTCCCCTCCTTCCCTTTGCCTGGCGCCCTCCTGCCTGGTACCATAATCTCCTCCCTCCAGTCTGGCACCTTCCCTCCTGCACGATTGTCTTGCACCTACTCCTCCTCGTCACCTGTCACCTCCCCTCTGCCTAGCACTTTCCCATTCAACTCTTGCCTGGCATCCTTGCCCTCTGCCCTACACCCCTGCCTGGCACCTCCCCTCCTCCTCCCTGCCTGGCGTCTTCCCACCTCCCATCTAGCCTGGCACCTTCCCTCCTTCTCCCTGCCTGGCACCTTCCCTCCTCCCCCTGCCTGGCATCTTCTCTCCTCCCATCTAGCCTGGCACCTTCCCTCCTTCTCCCTGCCTGGCACCTTCCCCCCTCCCCCTTCCCTGGCACCTCCCATCCCGCCTGGCACCTTCCCTCCTCCCATTCTGCCTAGTACCTCCCCTCCTCCCCCCTGCCTGGCATCTTCCCTCCCCCCTGCCTGGCATCTTCCCTCCTCCCTCCTGCCTGGCATCTTCCCTCCTCACATCCTGCCTGGTCCCTCCCCTCCTCCCCCCTGCCTGGCACCTCCCCTGTCTCTACTTGGCTGTATACCTCTCTCCTATTCAGGTGTTTCTCTCTCTCCCACCTTCCTGCAGGGCACCTCCCCCAGTCCTGGGCTGGTAATCTCTCCCCTGTTGGCCTCTTCCTCTCCATGGCCTTGTCTTCCTCCTCACCCTTCCCAGAGTCACCCCCTGGCCACCAGCCCCTGCACATGACCTGAGCCACTCTCAAGCCCTCCACTCCCGCCCCCGATCTACAGCACCACCCTCCCCTCAATCCCCATGCCCTGCCTGGGGAACTCAGCACTGGCCACCCTGAAGCCCAGGGCCCACAGGGCGAATCCAGGGAGGCCCTGCACAGCGGAGGGGATGGCTGCCACTACCTGCCTGCCGCTCCTACAGTTCCCTCGCGAGGCCTAGGCTGACCAGAAGCCACCCAGTTCCCATCCTGGCCTGCCGGTCACACCCTCACCTCCAGTGCCCAGCTCTCTGCCCACCTGTTGCCAGGTCCCCAGAGCTTCGCCCCTGTAGGGACCTGGGCCTGCCTGGGTTCTCAGCTCTGTCCCGGCTCTGTCCTCGGGAGCCAGTGTCTGACGGCTTCCTGCGCACCCTGCCCCATCCCACGCTCTTCCTCGTGCCACCAGCCTGGGCCCTCGCCACCACCTCAGTCCTGGTCACTCCCTGTCAGGGGCTGGTCCATGGTGGCCCCTCAACTGTCTTCTTCCCCAGCCTCCTGGGGCCCTTGAATCTGCCTGGGGCTCGAGGTCTGCCGGCCCTCCCACTGCCCTCTCCTTTCAGATCCTCCTCAGAATGGCGCTTGGAGCTGCAGGCGAGGTGGGCTCTGGGCCCGCACCCCGAGGGGGCACCGGATGAGTGCCCTGCTGCAGCACCCTGCCACCCATGACTCCAGGCCTTCAGCACCCACCCACCGTGGTACAGGTAGGCGCTGCCTCCCCCCAGCCTGGGAGCAGGAACCCTGGGGCCCAACTGAGAGTTGCTGGCGTCTGGCCCCCTCTTGGCACTTCTGCCCCAGCCAGGCCCATGGCGGTGCCTCTTCTCAGCCCTCGCACAGCTGGAGCCTCGGCCCAGGCCCCGCCAGCACACCCTCCACCTTCCCCCCTCCTGTCCCTGGGTCCTGCCTCTCGGAGCCAGCTGAGCCAGGGACAAGCAAGCCTGAAGCCGTGTTTTTGGTTCAGGTGAAAAGGGTCTGTGTCTATGGCTTGTTCCACTTCCTTCCCACCAACAGACACCCCGACACACATCTCTCCTCTCCCCCATGTGTGAACACACCCCCATGTGCACGCACGTGCTCCCCCTGCTGGGAGGAACCTGCTGACCCCTGGCACAAGGTGGCCTCCAGAAACCTACCCCCAAACACGCTGTGGCAGACGTGCCAAAGCCTGCAGGGCTGGAGGGTTTGTTCTTAGCAGGAGGGGGAGGTAGCAGCCTGTCGCAGGGCCTTGGGGGAGTTAGCCCTGTGCTGCCCCTAGGCAGGCCTGCGGCTCAGAGGCTCAGAGGCGCTCCGCGGGGCCCACTGATGTGGGCTGGACCCTCCTGGGCCTCCTCCTGGCAGAGGGAGAGGAGGACGGCCTGGCTAGTCCCACATCAGCCCCCCTGGCCCAGAAGGACACACTGAGGCACCGCATGGAAAGGCCACCTGGCGGAGGGCGCGTTCATCTTGGGGAGGGGCTTGCGCTGGTCTGAAGCCTGCGGTCTGGTCTGGGCTCCGCCTGCCCAGCCCCACCTGCCTCTCTGGCTGCCTCACTGGTGGGGTCACCTGGCAACAGCCTGTGAGACCCAGTCCCAGCAGGAGGAGCGGACAGGCCATCCCGCAGGAAGTGCCACAGGGCCCTGGGAGGGACACGGGGGAAGCCCTGGATGGGCCATTTGAGGCAGCCTTTTGGAGAAGAGGAGGCGGGTCAGCTGGTGCCAGGGTCAAGGGTGAGCTGGATGAGAGTGGCTTTCTCAGCTTCTCCTTCCTCAGAAGCTGCTGAGGACTCAGCGTCCTGGTGTGGCTGCTCTGAGGCAGGGGCAGCCCCGTCCCCTCCACCCCCTCCCCTGTGGCTGGAAGATGTGAGCGCTGGCGGCTGGCAGGCCCAGAGGATGGAGCAGCAGGGTGGCGGGGAGCTCCGACATCCGCCGCTGTCACCCTGGAATATGTGCAGTGAGGGGCAGGACAGTCAAGGCCCCAAACAGAGGTCCCATCCACTGCCCCAAACCTAAGCACCGTCTGAGGGGAAGTGGGGACCTATTCCTCAGCTTGCGGGTCGGTTTTAATGCGGAATCCTGGAGGAAAGTTATGAGCTAGTGTCCCACACACGTTCTTCCTGGGTGCTCTTAAGTTCTGGGGTGTCTGAGGGCAGAGGCCAGGTCCCGTGGGGGTGGGGAGGCCGGTGGGAGGCAGCTGAGGTCCCTGGGAGATACGCCAGAGTCAGGTCCCCAAATGGTCAGGCCTCGTACATTTCCACCGGTTTGGGGTGCACTGAGCTAAGCCCTGAGGGGCTCCCAGCAGCAGTCGGCAGGTGCCTCAGGCTGTGAGGATGGGCAGTGGGGGAGGGGAGGCTTGAGAAGACTGGGAGGCCCTGGGACAGTGAGTACATCCTGGTGACACCTGGTCCCCAAGTGGCCCCAGTCACAAGGTGGATCTAAGGCTTATCTGGGATTCCTGGGGAGTCAGGAGCCCCAACCTCCCCATGTGCTGAAGGTGGTGAGGAGTCAGGTGCTAGAGGAAGTTTCTGGCAGTTTATTTCAGAGTCACATTAGCCTAAAGTGGCCTTCATTCAGTGTGTACAGTGGTGGGTGTGGAGCTGGCTTGGACGCCTGGCAGTGTGGGCACGTGCTCTCACTTGGATGCTGACAAGCTCTGAGCTAGCTCGGGTCTAGACCAGGCGTCCAGAGCTGGACTATCACCCCGCCCCGCCCCAGCGCTTCACAGTGCGATGGCAGGTGAGAGCTCCCTGTCAGTGAGCTGTTAAATGGCAGAGGTAATGGGTGAAGGTGAAGGTGTTGCCAGGAGGAGGCTGAATGGCCCTGGGTTTGGTGGATTCTGAACTCTCTTCAGTTGCTGCACCAGTGGGGTCAGCCTGCGTCTGGTGGGCACTCAGCTAAGGGACACTTTGTGGGGCCGTGTCCCCCAAAGCAAGGCGTGTGCAGACCCTCGGTGACCATAAGGGACCCAATGGGAGAGCAGTTGCCCTCAGGCTGGCTCTTGATTTGCTTCCCAAGCTGTGAACCTGATTTCTCTGTGACCCAAACCTGCAGGAAATTTGAGTTGGTCTTATGCGCACGTCCCCCTGGTGCCTTGACTGGAATTTACGAACTTGGATCACTCCATGTCAACCGTCTCTCCAGACTGCAGAGCACTCTGGGCCTGAAGGGAGGGAGAGAACGGGGGACGAGAGGATGCCCACCTCATTCCAGAAGAGTTGGAGGGAGGTAGTACAGGAAGGAAATGTATGGCCAAGAAAGGGTTAGTGCACAACATGCAAACCGAGAGGCCCTGGGACCCTCCCACGTGCGGAACATGAGCACTCATGTGGGTCACGCTGCCCTTATGACAAAAAGCAAACCATTTGTTCAGAAACACTGTGATTTCTGGCCCTGGCACCCCAAGAAGTCTCTCCTGTATGATGACATAAGGGGGACACTGGGTGACAAATTTAAGTGATGTCCTTAACAACACCCTGAATTTCCTGGGCTAAGGCAAGGACTAACACAAGCTGGGCAGCCAGAGAAATATTGCTGATTGTGCTCAATCCAACGATAACATTTAGAAAAACCAGAGGAATGCATTGCCTGCCGTCAGGAAATCCTCTCGGTTAATATTTACAACAGTGTTTCCGATAAATATCAGGCAGGAGGGCTCGGTTCCAACCAGGAATCATGTAGTCACATTCCTGGGGTAAGGGTAGCATCCTCCTAGGAGAATAGAGACCCTCCCAGCATGTGTGCCCAACGGTGAGTTTGGGTGGAGAGCGGGCCCCACCACCTGCCTTACCCACCAGGTCCTGAACCCACTCGGAAAGGGCACGGCTGCAGGGATTATCAATGTTATTGCGGGAAAGCTGGACTGAAGAGGGCCTTGAACCCGAGGCCCAGATGCAGACCTGTGTGCTCACTGGGGCATGGGAACAAGAGGAGATGGGCAGGCTTCAAGGGAAAGGCAGGGACGGCCTATATTCACTCCCCACCCCCCGCCCCCCGCCGCGCCCGCCCTGCCCAGGAGAGGAACGTGTCCAGCAGGTGTCAGACTCTCACCACTTCATCAGACAGCGCCCCACCCAAGAGAAGAGGGTGGAGAGACTGGGCGAGGAATCTTCTCTTCAGAGGAATAGAGGAGAAGCTTTCTGTGAACACATGAACACAAGAGGCCAGGGTTGCCTCTCCAGTGGGGGTGGGGCCGGCCACATTGCTGACCTGGGAGTAACCTTTGATCCCACCCCTTCCTTTTTTCTGCATAAGAACAATCACCTCATTCTTTTTTAAAAAATGCATTTATTTTTTTAAAAATATCTTTATTGTGGAGGGTATTATAGATGTCCCCCTATTCCCCCAATTGCCCCCCTCCACCAAGTTCCTGCCTCACTGCAGGCCTTCATCATCCTATTGTCTGTGTCCATAGGTAATGCATATATGCAAGATCTTTGGCTAATCTCTTCCCACCTCCACCCCCTCTTCCCTTTGAGATTCATCATTCTGTTCCATGTTTCCATGCCTCTGATTCTATTTTATTCACCAGTTTATTTTGCTCATTCGATTCCTTGTTTGTTTATTTTGATTTTTAGATTCCGTTGTTGATAGATATGTATTTAGTGCCATTTTAATGTTCATATTTTTCTCCTTCTTCTTCCTTTTCTTAAAGAATATCCTTCAACATTTCATGGAATACTGGCTTGGTGGTGATGAACTTCTTTAGGTTTTTTTTGTCTGTAAAGCTCTTTATCTGACCTTCAATTCTAAATGAGAGCTTTGCTGGCTAGAGTAATCTTGGTTGTAGGTCCTTGCTACTCATCACCTTGAATATTTCTTGCCACTCCCTTCTGGCCTGCAAAGTTTCTGTTCAGAAATCAGCTGACAGCTGTATGGGTGCTCCCTTGTAAGTAACTAACTGCTTTTCTCTTGTTGCTTTTAAGATTCTCTTTCTGTCTTTAACCCTTAGCATTTTAATTATGATGTGTCTTGGTGTAGTCCTCTTTGAGTTCCTCTTGTTTGGGACTCTCTGCACTTCGTGAACTTGTAAGTCTATTTCTTTCACCAGATAGGGGAAGTTTTCTGTCATTATTGCTTCAAATAGGTTTTCAATATCTTGCTCTCTCTCTTCATCTTCTGCCACCCCCACGATGTGAATGTTGGTACTCTTCAAGTTGTCCCAGAGGCTCCTTATACTATCTACATATTTTTAAATTTTTCTTCTTCTTTTTGCACTTCTGATTGGGTGGTTTTTCCTTCCTCATATTCCAAATCATTGATTTGATTCTCAGAATCCTCTACTCAACTGTTGAATCCCTGTAAATTATTCTTTATTTCAGTTAGTATATGCTTAATTTCTGACTGGTCCTTTTCATGTCTTTTGAAATTCTTACTAAGACCCTTGAAAGTCTCACTAAGTCCCTTGAAGTTCTCATTAAGATTCTTGATTAACCATATAACCATGGTTTTGAACTCTGTATCCAGTAGTTTGCTTGCTTCCATTTGTGACATGTTTCTTTATCTCTGCATTTTGGCTGCTTCACTGTGTTTGTTTTATGTAGTAGGTAGAGCTACTATGTCTTCTGGAACTAGTAGAGTGCCCTTGTGTAGTAGGTGTCCTGTAGAGCCCAGTGGCTCAGCCTCCCCAGTCACCTGGGCTGGGAACTGTAGGTGTGCCCCTATGTGGGCTGTGTGCATAGTCTTGTACTTGAACCTTGATTGCTGTTGGCGTCACTGGGAGGAATTGACCT